GCCATGGCCTCTCCGCGCCGTGCTGCAAACAGAACCTGAGTGTTACTCTCTGCAACCGGGGACCTGCAAGGACGAGGAGGAGCACAGACCTGTCAAAGCAAAGGCTGAGAGGCAATTCAGGCGTGAACAGTGCAGAGCACCCCGCCTTCTGGAGCCTGGCAGGAGGCAGCTCCCCGGCCAACACCGGGCAGAGGAGCGAGGCTGCCATCGCCACCAGGGCGGGGAGAGAAGCGGGGCGGGGGGGCGGGGGGGGGGAGTCCAGGGAGGCCCGAGGCCTTGTCCTGGCCCCGGGCAGCGGTGGCGGCAGCAGCAGCAGCAGCAGCAGCAGGGAGGGACCAGCTCGGAAGTGGAACCCCGCGCGGCCCAGGGCTCTGCCACTCTGGAACCTGGAAATTAAACGGGGAGTCAAAGCGTTAGCACTGAAGCCCTCGCAGAGGAGTGCGGGCCGGGCCACGCCTGTGAGAAGCAAAGCTGGGTTATGACACCACACGGCCACCTACTCCGTGGCCGGCAGCCCGCGCGCCGGGGCCTCCCACGGGCCGCAGACCGCAGGGCACCTCCGCCGGCTCCGGCAGCGCCCCCGGGCACGCCCGTCAGCTGCAAGGGGTTTAAAAGACAGTCGAGTGGGGAGAGGGCCGAGCCCCCTTCTAGAGTCTGTTAAATGGCTAAATACAGAACACACAAAAACGATACATTTGTCTGTCCACTCTGCAGAACATTAAAAGTTTTAAAACTACATGACATTTCTTTAAAAAGAGCCTACATTTTTCTACATACCTTTTAAAATTAGTAAAATAAAACAGCAGAGCACCCACAGGAGACCGTGTACACGTTAGTCGGTTAAAAGTCAAAGGAAAGCCGTGCTTGCTGCAAGGGCCTGCCCCCGCCCGTCTTCCCGGGGCGGCCCCCACCGCAGCGCACGGCACGGAGAGGGGGCTCTGAAAACGCCCTGGGGGAGGCGGTCCCGCCGCAGCAGCGCGGCCTGTCCCGCCACATGTCACCAGAAGGTGCACCTGGGATCCAATATGAATCAGAGGGTTGGCTTTGGTTCTAGGACACAAAACCATGGCACGTGAAGGGATGGAAATCAAACAGGTTGCAAAAAAACCTTACACAAAAATCCTTAGGATTTAATAGTAAATCAAGGCTACACACCTTTGTAAAATTCTTATTTAAGTAAGTGTCCCAAATAACACTTCATTCACAAATTTTAAAAATAGTTGAAAAGGTTACTTGAAATGCTCATTAAATAAGTTTTAAAAAAGGATCTCAGATTTTCCCCCTAACCGGTCTGTGTGGCTTCCTCCTAGGTCTCCTGGCCCCACCCCCCGCCCCACCCTGGCAGCGAACCCGTTAGGGCCCGTTGTGGGGGCATGAAGCCCGGCCCAGGAAGGGCCCTCTGGCAGCGGGAGCCCAGAGCCGCCTGCTGCCCTCCCGGGCACTAGGGGGACCGGGCGCAGCGCCCCAGTGCGCAGACCTCGCTCCAGACCTAACTGTCCTCAGCGGGGCCGTTGGTCCGGTGTTCGGCAGGTGCGGAGCTTACCTTCGAGTCAACAGAAACGAGAAACAAGGTAAACAGAACAGACACTGGAAGGACACAAGAGAAGAAGTGACAGCTGCTAAAAACGAGCTCTGTGAACAACCTCGCTGACTACCCGCAAGAGCCACCAGGCCCTCCTGCCGGGGGGCGGGCGGCCGAGTGCGCGTGGCTCCCGACGCCGCCCGCCCGCCCTGCACAGGAGCCGTCCAGCGGGCGCCTCCTGGGTCGCTGGGTGCCCAGCGCCTGGACATGCCTCCGCGGGCCTGCCTGCCTGCCCGCCCCCACGTTGCGAGTGCTAGGGGACAGGCCAGGACGAACACGCAGCGCAGCTGCTCCGCTCTGCGAGCCCGTCCTCCCCCACGGCCCCTCCTGCTGCCCGTCCCCCGCCCCGGCCCCTCCCAGCAACAAAGCCTTCCATTGGCAGAGTTGAACAAAGTGCCGTCTGAGAGGGGGACCCCAGGCGCAGGGTCTAAGCTCCGTCACAGTCCGGAGGCGCTACAGAACCAAGCGTCAACAGTCGTTTCTCAGGACCTTTACAAAGCACGGGAACCCCAATCGCAAGTGCTCACGGAGAAGCCCCCCGCCCCACACCCCACCCCGGGCCCCACTGGATGCTGCCCGTCCATGACCGGGGACCCTCGACATTTCTTTGGGAAAGAGACAAGCTTTCTCCTGGAGAAGGGTGTCAGCATACGGGTTTAACAAACGCGGCCAGACCAACAGCACAGGCCACGCTCAGGAGGCTGGGGACTGTTACAGCACAAAGTCCACAGGAGGTGACGCGCGAGCAAGTCCCTCTCGCCCGCAGCCGCCTGCCGCGTTCACCTCACAAGACACTGACAGTTCCTGGCTTTGAGCTTCTTGAATTTGTGAACAAATAATACACAGGTCAGGGTAAATGTATTGACTTACTCCCATCTTTATAAAAATCGAATATACACACGAACACATCAACAAGTATGGAACTGTAGTCATTAAACTTTCATGAGACAACACAAAAGAACTAGCAAGTAGCTAAGGTGTCACTGAACTGAAAGCACTTCCAATAACGCTTTAATGTTAAAAGGTCCGTATTTACACAGTTGTGTCCAATGCTCCTGCACCTCATTTGAACGCATGATAGAGAAAGAACAGAGATAATGGTTGCAGCAGATCTTCCAAGAGAGCTCGGCTCGGGCCTCCGGCTTCCCCGTGGGGAGCGCGCCGCGAATGGGCGGGACGTAGCTTTCTACTCCTGCTTCCTTCCTTCCCTGCAGTTTCCTTCGAGGAAACGCAGACGCGCCCGCAGGGATGGCAGCGCTGCGGGTCCGCACTGGGCAGCGGGGCACACGAGGCGGCAGTGGCTGGAGCCGCGCCCACCGCTGCTCTAGGAAAAGCCTGCTTTGCCTCAGGGACCGTCTTGCAAGGACTGCGTACAAGAGAAAGTGGCCTGTGTGTGTGCAGACAGGCACACATGCCCCGGGCACCCCGGTGCACTCAGGGGCCAGGAGGCCTGCCCGGGGCGAGGGGCCCACACGGCACCGCTCACCATCGCCGACCAGGACAGCGGCTTCTGTGCCTGTTCCCCAAGACGCCACGGCACTCAGCCTCTTTCAGAAAGCAGTGAAGGTGGCTCAACTCACGCCAGTGCACCCGGCATCCTCGGCACAGAGCCCACCGGCTGCGAGCCCCCGGCTGGTGCCTGGCGCGGGAAAAGGGCCTGGGCCGCTCTCACCTAGAGCCCTGGCTGCCTCCCCGCCTCCATGCGGCTCTCTGTGGGCTGAGCAAACTCACCTACGCACCTACAGGCGAATGCACCTGCACTATCTGCAGAGGGGCTGTGAGCCCGGGGCACGCGGCGCCAACGCATGGGGAGCCTCCAGGGCCCCGGGCGGGGGCCAGCCCACAGCGTGCCGCTCAGGGCACGCGAGGCGAGGGCAGCGGGTGCCGGAGCTGGGGGGCCCCGGCGGACCCAGCGGGGCCCGTGCCCTCCCCGCCTGCTTCCGCGCTCAGCGCTGTCTGAGGTGGACACAGCAGAGGCCTCACAGGGCCCGGATGCCCCCTTTCACTTTGAAAATGTAAAATAAAATGCCAGCTGCACTAACAGGAAGGCACCGACTCCCACGACCTGGGTCTTGCGACCTCTGCTCCTGCAGGAGGCAGGGGCGGGAGGAGCCGGCGGCACGGGCCTCCGGGTCCCCAGGGTGCTCACTGGGCTGACCGGGGACAGTCGGGGCACCGGCTTCTCTCTCCATTAACTCTGTGGGCCACTCGGACGCGACACTCATACACGAAGCCCAGCTGGGAAGCCTGAGTCGGTCCTGGTGCCTCCGGCGCCCACGGCTCAGGGCCTGCGGGGCTCAGTCCGAGAGGGACTCCTCCGTGAGCGAGGCCCAGCGAGGCTCCCTGTGGCTGCTCTACGGGCATGTGGGTTCCACCTAAAGGAGCCCCCGCAGGACTGCCCAGGCGGGGCCGCGGGGGGTTGCGGGGCGACGCCAACCTTGCCCGGGGCTGCCTTGCTCACAGGTCTGCTGAAGGACACCGCCCCGCCTGCTCAAAGGTCTTCCAAAAAAAAAAAAAAAAAAAAACCAAAAAAAGAAAAGGAAAGAAAAAAACAGTTAATCACAGCAACAACCAGCTTCCCAAAGAACAGTGTGCGCCAGGCGGCCAGCGCCGCGGGCCTGCCACCGTGCGCTGCTCAGAAAGAGAAGACCGCCACCCCGGTCTGCTCGGGCCCCAGGCTGCTGCTGCTCCGCCCGCGGCACGGCGGGCACCCCACCGGGCAGCGAACCCCGCGGGGCGCAGCTGGAGAGCACACGCGCCTCCTCCGCACCCGGGCGGCAGGGGGCAGCCGCCGGCCCGCGCCCCGCGCGGGGAGTTAAACGGGGGCGGGCCGTTCCCCGGACCTCGGGGCACGCAGCGGGCACGCCCGGGACCTGCACAAGCAGCAGGCCGAGCCGCCCGAGGGCACCTCCCCAGCCGCCCTCACCCGTGCTCTCCCGGACGTGCGGCGGTCAGGCGCGGCCACGCACGGCCCCGGCTGCGGTTGCGAGCGCCTCTGCGGGGCTTTCTGCAAGGGCAGTCCTGGTCTAGCCCGCACTGAAGATAAGTGCAACCATTATCAAGTGTTCTTTGCTGTGAAAAGTACGTAGAGTCTGTGCTGCTAAGGTCCCTCCCTGACCCTATGTCTCAGTGAGCGCGCGGTCAGACAGTGGGACCACGGAGAACAGTGTCTACATGCATTGTGAGCACTTTGAAAACAAAAGGAAACAGGAACTGGAGTTCTCGGAGGTGACAACAGACTCTGAAGCCATCTAACACCGAACCGCAGCCCACCACGTCCCGCAAGTCCGGCTCCCCGGAACCAAGGCTGGCCGCCCGGTGCTTCGGACGGTGAGCAGGGCTGGACGGAGACCTCGGCGGGCGGGCGGGCGGGCGGGCGGGCGCTGGCGGTGCCCTTGGAGGAGCTCCTCAGCTTGTGTGTGTGGCGTGAGGCCGGCCTCCCGGCCAGAGGTCACTCAACGATCAGGGCCACGTTTATGTGGGACAGGTCTACCATGTGCCTGTGGGGGCGGAGACAAGTGGCAGCGTCAACACGCACGCCCGGGCTGGCTCGCCGGGACCGGAGCGGGCTGCGGGCAGCGGCGGGCTCTGCGGCGGGACAGCGGCCCCAGGTAAGTGCAGGCTGAGGGCGAACCTCAGTGCAGCACGGAGACAAGAAGCGCGTGTCCCTCTGCGCTTCTGGAGGGGGAGAGGCACATGCACCAGCATGCAGAGCAGCAGCGACCCGGACCCAGAGCCGACGGCAGAGGACAGGCACCGCCCCCCCGCCCCAGCCCCCGTGGAGTCCACCGCTACCTGTGGAACTTCTGCTGAAACGCCAGTGCGTGGGCTGGTTCCTTAAACTTCGCTATGGCTTTCCGTTGCTGGGGAAGCATCTGTAAACTCTAGAGGAAAAAAACAAAGACCTTTTAACATCACACTACACGGTAAAAAATATACACTATACGTCAACGTCAGCCTTAGTACGAAACCCAAGCTCAGCCTGACGCCTGGACCTCCCAAGCAGCGCCCTGCGGCAGGTCACGCCCCGACGCAGGGCGACTCTCCAAGCCTGGCGTCAGGGCCTGCCCGCAGCTGACCACGCCAGCGGCAGCCGTCCCTCCACGTGGGCTCTGAGCCCGGGGCTGGCACCCTGGGGGTCCCTCTCTGCCCTGAGGCCTCCCTGTCAGGCCATGTCCACGGGGTCTCGGGTTTGAAACTGCTAGTGCCCTCTCCTGGAGGAAAATGCTTCTGACTTCGGCGGAGGTGCCTCCCCGGGGGACTTCCCAACCGAGCGTGCAGGCGCGGCTTCGCCATCGCCATCGCCGTCTGCAGAGTGAGGCGGGAACGCGCCCGCTGTGAGGGCGCTCGCTCGGCGGGGAAGCCGGCAGGGCGGCAGGCGCTGCAGGGGAGGAACAGCGCCCAAGGTTTGCTTCCTGGCTGTTCCCCTCGGCTTACATTTTGGTGCCCTTTCAAAAAAACAAACCCTACTTTCTAGATATGACAATGAATTGCAGAAACTGTCCGTTTTCAACCCATCAACATGACAACATTACTGATTTCTTCAGAAGCATATGAAAAACACGTTGCACTGAAAGCTGAAAGGCTTGCAATCGCTCCTCTGAAAAGCTCTGAAAACATGTAGCTCCATGTTTTACCCGAAGTTAAAACCCACCTCCCACTGACGCGCAGACAGAAAGGCAACTATTAACGTTCGCCAGGACTCATTTTTCAGACAAGATGTCGTCAGCTGGCCTCTGAGGGTGAGTGACTGCAAGCGGCTGTTCTGCTGCGGTTCTCGAACGCAAGCTGAACCGTGGGCGTTGGCCCTTCCGCACCGCGCCCCAGCCTGCTGGGGCCTGGGCCGCCTGGCCTGCCACGGCCCCTCAGAGAGCCAGGCGCGCGCCGTGCAGAGCCAGCCCTGCCCCGCCAGGACACACACCCTCCAGCCAGGAGGAGTCTGGGCGAGGCCGCGATGTCAGGCCGGGTAAACCGGGTAAACGTGCTCCCCCGTGGCTGACAATCCCTCACACCTTCAGGAACTGCCTATCTGAAGCCGAAAACGACCTTCGTTGTTCTAACACAACAGTGAAACTGCTTCCGAGGGGCCCGCTGAAAGCACTGCCCTGTGGCCCGGGTCCAGGCTACGTGCAGAGCCCAGCTTGGGGTCCTTTTTGAGCCTGCACCCAGTGCCGCGCCCCTGCTGGCACGGGGGCACCGGGGGCGGCAGACGCCGTCCTGAAGGGGTCTGTGCAGTCACAGGAGACCTGGGCGGCAGGGGCCTGGGCAGCCCGCCCCACACCAACGTCACGCGAGCGATCACGAGATCGATCATGGCTCCTTCTCATAATCCCAAAAACAGGCCCCATTTTCCAGCCATGACAATGGACTGCAGACACCGCCCCTACTCAAGTCCCACCGGGGCTGGCTCCGCTCTGACACGGACGCCGTGCCTCCGAGCGCGCTGCCCACGCTGGCCACAGGCCACCCCGTCGTCCTCACCCAGTGAAGGCGGGCCCTCCCTCGGAGCCCCGTGCCCTCGCCCTGCCTCCCGAGGCCCTGTTTCCGTCTGGCTCGCTCGCGACTGCCCAGACCCCGTGCGGCGGCCGCCGGCGGGCCTGTCTGCCACAGCCACCTCGGGCCCTGCGGCCACGCCTGGGCCTTCTGGAAGCCAGGGACACCTGACCCTCCCGTCGTCCTTCCCAAGTGTCCTGGATGCGAAATGACAAACCGCTTTCTCCGGAGATTCCAACGTCTCTGAAATCACCCGCCAGGCCTCCCCGGCCTGCTGGAGCCAGCCGCAGCGCGGGTGCTCTCACTGGCCCACGGCGCCTTCCGCTCAGGCTCTCCAACGTGACCCTGCCTTGCTGGCCACTCCAGGGGGCGTCCCCGTCTGCGTGGCCTGGGGCGCTGTCCGAGGCTGGCGGCCCGCCCCGGGACAGGCCACGCGGGCACCGGTGCTGCCCCTCTGTCCTCCTGCCTCGCCACGCTGCCCTTGGTGACACGAGGCTCCCCGTCTGTTGCCTCCCTCCTTCCGGGTTGTGCCGGGGCCGATCAACAACGTGGGGGTGTGGAAGGTCTTCTGTGATCTGGGAGGGTCGGACGGGCGCCCCCGGGCCCACGGAGGGCAACGCTGTCCGAAAGCTGTGCGCCAAGCAGGGGAGGCGCGGGGACGCCACAGTGCGTCCAGGGCCACCGGCAGAGCGGGGAAGAGGCCGGCAGACGCGGGGACCTGCGCAGCGCCGGGCAGAGGCGGGCAGCACCCAAAAGCCAGGCTGCACTGTGTGCGGGCCACCGGGGCTCTGAGGCGATCGTGAGCTTCGCACTCTTGGGAGGGACGCCTTTTTGTTTTTATGCCACGGCGTTTCATCCATTAAAGAAGAACAGGTTTTTCTTAACACCATTTTAGGCGCAAACCAGCAAACAGGGAAATAAAGGTTGTGAACAAAGGGGTCTCAGAAGCTGTGACCCCCTCTCCCAGGTCCAGACCCAGGGAGCTACCCGGGCAGAGCAGGAGGAAGGGTCAGTGCCCACAGGAGGGGACCCTGTCACTAGAGAACCCCGGGCCTCCGCAAGCCCCTCCCTGACGGTGACTGGGGATGAGAGCTGGGCTCTGACTTGCTGAGCCCGAGCCCTCCCATCGGGACCCCGGGACCCCAAAACCTGCTGCGCACTCCCTCCTGTCACTTCTCCCTCCTGGCTGGGACACGCCACAAAATCCTGTCATTTTTGCTTATGGTGCAAACAAGCACCTGTAGATAAATGTCTTTACAACGGACCTTTGGGAGGCTCGTGAGCACAAGAGCGACGTGGCCGCCGTGCCGCCACGAGGAGCGGCCCCTCGGGCCCCACGCAGGGGAGCAGGGAGACCGCGCGCCGCAGCTCCGGGTCTCCGCGGTGGCCCCGCACCGCCACTGCCGCTGTTGCACCAGGTGGGCACAAGGGGGCGCCACAGCCCCAGGGCTCAGCTGTGCCCGCCCAGCGCCCAGCGGGAGGCCTCTTTCAAGTCTATTTAAACCTTCGTTATAACATTGTTATAAATATCTTTCTAAACACTTATACTCAACAACACCACTGCAACACCGTTGCAGAAGCTGGTTACGCCTGTGTGGTGCAAAGGCCTGAATCCCTGGTATTTGTGGCTGATGGTTTCAATACCGACACCCCGCCCGCTGGTAAGAGCTGAGCGCTCCTCAGGGACTTCGTGGGGACCAGGGGCCCTCCCCTCGAGCCTCGCCTTAGGGGTGGCCGACACAACCTGAAGGCTTCTTTCTCCTAGCCCTCCCAAGCCCGCTCCCTGAGATGAGCTGCTACGGCCCTGCAGAGGCTCGGTTCACCTTCTGGTAAACCAGCTTCTGGCGCCCTCCAGCTTTACAATCCACAGCGCAGTGACCTCTCGTCCTTCCTTTTCAGAGCAGTGGGAAAAGGCGAACGGCGGGCGGGGAGGCCATCCCAGAGACGCGGGGCTCCCCGGGCAGCGCTCCGCCCCTCAGACGGCCACGGCGAGCCCAGGGCAGCGCTGCGCCGTGACGCCCCCTACGCCCCCCGCCTGTCAGCGCCTGGCTGCCAGCAGCACTGCCACACAGGCCGCGGTCCGGGTGCAGCATCGGCTCAAAGGGCAACCGGGGAGGCCAGCCCCGCTGTCTCCCCCACCCCCCGCCACGGAGACGGCAGAGCAGCAGGTGGCAGCCCCGGCCCTCCTGACCTGGGGCTTGGCCCCGGGTTCTCGGCACCCGTTGGCCCGAGTCTCCGAGCAGGAAGACCACACCCGCACACATGAGACGGCACTGTCAGCCCTGCCTCTGCCAACAGGCCCCGAGGACGGGGACCCGCCTGCCAACAACCGCCCCCGGTGACAGGGACACCGGCCCGGCTCACGCGGTGGGAAGCGCGCGCCTCAAACAAAGGCCCACACCCTTGGTCCACATTTCATTACTACGCACAAGACGAGGGACCCTGAGTCTCTTGGAAATGCGGAGCACCCCCAGGCGCCTGTGCCCACGGCTCCTCTTTCAGGGGCTCTCAGAGGTACCAGAGGCGTCAGACACGCTGAGGACGGGCTCCCCGCGCCCGCGCCGGTCTGAGCGCGCCTCCCTTCACTCAGGAAGCCGGCGGCACAGCCGGCCCTGCAAGGAGGCCCCGGCGCTGCTCTGAAGCGGCGTTTCCGTTGGTCTTGCCCACCAAGTGCTCTGCACTCAGGCGCAGGCCGACAGGGACGGAGGCCGCTGGTCACGGCTGTGACCGGGGGTGACGCCTGGCAGGAAGGAGGAAACAAACGAGCTGCTCAAGGAAAAGCTGGTGCGCGCCCGCTCGCACGCGGGCCGGCGGGGCTGCTGCGGCAAGGGACAGCGGCCCCCGTCTGCAGCCAGCCCCGCAGAGATCCTGAAGCACTCGGAATCAGCTGCTTTGAGAACTGAAAGACCCAAATACGGTCGACGTCGTTTCATGTTTGTAAAATCTAATTCACGTGCCACAGCTGTTAACACGGGAGGCTGTTTCTGGAAATTAAGGTCAAGGAGACCCACGCACTCTAAAATTCTTAAACTGTGCCCAAAAAAACGAGGGTGTGACCAAAAAAAGACGGAAAAACCACCACTTACGGAAGCGCGCATGTGAACTTCCGAACCACGTAAGGAAGGGTTCCAAAGCGCCATCCGTTCAGACGCCCATCCCGCGTGGCTCACGCCGAGCATCCGGAAACCTCGAAACGGCCCGGCTCTGAGCGAGGGCCCGCACGGCCACGCACACAGGCGCCTCCGCCCCCCCGGAGCACGCGGCCGGGCGGCCTACCTGGATGGGCCCCACGGAGGTGAGCAGGCTCTTGAGCTGGGCGTCAGTGGTGGAGGAGGACAGGCCCTCGACGGACACGGCGCAGGGCTGCGGCTTGCACTCCACCACCCGCAGGTTCTGCTTGTTGGGCGCCGGGCGCCCGCGGCCCGCCGGCCCCGCTGCGCCCCGGCCTCTCCCATGCGTGAGGACCTGCGGACGGCAAGAGGGCAGGTCAGTTTGGAAGCCTGGGTGTCCCGCGCAACCGGTGAGACAGAAGGGTGAGCAAAGGACTCGGCGCCCATGCCGCGAGCGGTGAACGTCCTCCAGTTTTCACCCCGTCTTAGAAAAGAGCCGGGCGGCACACGGAGACACCGCCGCCCAGCCCGCTGAAAGGGCGGCCGGGGCCGAGCCGGAGCCGGCCGGGCGCGAGCAGCAGGGCCCCGGGGGCCAGGAGCGCACGGTGCGTGGCGCGCCGGGGACTCGGTCGGCCCAATGGGCCAAAGCCCGGGGGTCTCCCTCTGCACCCTAGGCCAGCTCCGCAGGGCGGTGCCACCCGCTGCCGCCACACAGGCACTGCTGGCCACCGCACCTCCCCGATCCAGCTCACCCAGGAAACTGCCACCCTGCGCGCCAGCCCGAGGTCACAAAGGAACAACACCGCCCTTCACCAGAGCGCCCACGTCACAGGAGGGAGACGGAGGTGCAGGACCAGGGGCTTTATTAGGCGAGCGACTGTCACCTCGTGGGCCACAAGGATGTTTAAAACATCTAATACCAGACTAATCAGTCAGGGGCACGGACTCTTTTCCCTTAGATTATCAAATAAAAAAATGACAATAGCCAACACACCAGAAGCCACCTGGTGTGAATGAAGGAAAACCACACCTGTGTTTCAGTCAGCCTGGCAAAGAACAGTATTTTCTGGTGTGCCGCCCGGTTTCATAATTAACGTCCGGGGAGGAGGAAGGGCGGAGGCGCTGCTGGGGCATGCGGCCGCGCGGGGCGGTGGTGCTTTCCTGCGGCCTCTCTCACCGCGCACCCGCAGGCCGCCCTGGCTGAAGGCGACGTGCACTGGACACGCTAAGGGCTGCACCCGAACACGTGGCTTCCCGGGCCTGTCCACCGGCCTCCTCTGCCAGGCCCAGAACACTCTCATCGGCCCTACATCGCAACGTGTTTATGGGGTAACGTAGCGAAGTAATAAAAATACTTTCCAGACCCGGAAGTGTCCTCATGTTTACACACCACTACTTAAGTGTCCCAGCAAGACAAACAGGGCTGGACCGGCAGGCTCCAAAGCTTTCTACAAGACACAGAGCAGGTTCCGCCGCCCTCTCCCCTCTCGCACGTCCCAGCAGACAGGCGTGAGGCTCCTGCCCCCAGGGCAGGCCGCACCAGGCATCGCCGGAGGGCCCGCAGGGCTCAGGGAGGCTGCCCAGGCGCCCTCCCTGGGGCGGAGGCCTGTCTTAAACCCAGGTCACAAACGGAGAAGGCCTGCCCCCAAGGGTCCGGCTGCCGTGCCTCTTGCCTAACAGACAGAGCTCACGGAAGAAGTTGCCTTCGATCCACAGGGCAAGGGACAGGGTTGAGCACCAGGGCCAGAGCCGCTTTCTTGGGCAGGACACTTCACCCCCAAGTCCCCGGTCCCCCGCCTGTCGGCTAGGGGGCGAGAAGGAAACAGACAGCCCGTGGAAGCCGGAGAACCAGCGGGAGGGGAAGGCGTGCTGCGCTGGGCCGCCCCCGGGGCACGGCTCGGAGCAGCAGGAAGCACCGCAGCCAGCGTGGGCGCCACCCTGGAGCGCCCCCGGAAGGCACAGCGGGAAGCACGCCCCCGAGAGCGCACTGGCCCGCGAAGGCACAGCGGGAAGCATGCCCCCGAGAGCGCACTGGCCCGCGAAGGCACAGCGGGAAGCATGCCCCCGAGAGCGCACTGGCCCGCGAAGGCACAGCGGGAAGCATGCCCCCCGAGAGCGCACTGGCCCGCGAAGGCACAGCGGGAAGCATGCCCCCGAGAGCGCACTGGCCCCCCGGAAGGCACAGCGGGAAGCATGCCCCCGAGAGCGCACTGGCCCCCGGAAGGCACAGCGGGAAGCATGCCCCCGAGAGCGCACTGGCCCCCGGAAGGCACAGCGGGAAGCATGCCCCCGAGAGCGCACTGGCCCCCGGAAGGCACAGCGGGAAGCATGCCCCCGAGAGCGCACTGGCCCGCGAAGGCACAGCGGGAAGCATGCCCCCGAGAGCGCACTGGCCCGCGAAGGCACAGCGGGAAGCATGCCCCCGAGAGCGCACTGGCCCCCGGAAGGCACAGCGGGAAGCATGCCCCCGAGAGCGCACTGGCCCCCGGAAGGCACAGCGGGAAGCACGCCCCCGAGAGCGCACTGGCCCGCGAAGGCACAGCGGGAAGCATGCCCCCGAGAGCGCACTGGCCCGCGAAGGCGGGGGCGCGGGCGCACCTTCTTGGCCGGGTGGATCCCCTGGATGCTCTTGATGCCCGGAGGGCCCGCCGAGTGCACATGGGCCCCGACCGGCAGGTGCTGGGGCTGCGGGAGGGCCCCCTTGGTCAGCGTCACCTTGCGGGCAGGCTGCTGTCTCACTTCTGGGGGCTGGGGGGACCGCTGGGGCTGGCCATCCGGGTGAAAAAAGCCATCACTCTCTCCTCCCTGCTGAAAGGAACAAGGCAGCACACCGGTCAGTGTCTGCTCAGCTGACACCCTGCCCCCGCCCCCGCCCCCGCCCCCGCCCCCGCCCCCCGCGTGTGTTCAACCGAGAGGCAAACCATCAAACCCCAGAACAGCGAACCTGTTGTGGCACTAGAGCCACCAGGAAATGTCTCACTTGACCAGGTTTGGGTTTGAATAACACCTTGGAAATTAAAACCACTGAGACCTTGGGCCACCCGACAGGAGGTCCGTCATTCAGGTGAATGCTGCTTAGCTCAGCGAAACGGTGCTTCACTTGAAACACGCTTCCTACTTAACATGCATTCTCCATCTACATGAGCATGCGTGTTAGAACCACAAGAGCTGGCGTGGGCAGCGGCTCCAGCTCCGCCCGGAGGTGAGCAGGTCGCCACGCTCACTCGCCACCCACCTCTGCCACGAATCCCGGGGTGTGTCCAGCCCCTCCTTTCTGAGACACACGGCTGAGCCTGAGGACTCCGGGCACAGGGCTCCCGGGCTGGGGGACACCCGTCGCCCCCTCCCACTGAGTCACAAGCGCCACCAGCAGCCACAGGTCCACGGTCTCAGAGGGGAACTCACGTCTCTAGTAAAAACTTCCCAAGCACCAGCCACCTAACCTTTTGCATTTTACTACTGGGCCCGCACTTCGTGACCTTAAACACCGTGACTCACTCAGGAGGCAGGGAGGGAGGTCAGACTTGCCGAGCGCCGCGCTCTGCCGCACACGCGCACAGGGGCACGCGGGCCGGGGTCTCTGCCCCACACAGGCTGCTCGGCCCTGTGGCCAGGAGGGGCGTGGGGACTTAGCCCAGGAGCAGCCCACGTATTTTGTTCCTTCCCCCCCAAAATTACGTTTGGAAGACAGCCGAATGAAACAAAGGGAAGGAACAGGGCTGGAGCAAGACGGGTACAGGTAAGATTGTTGCAAAAAACTGCCCAAACTAAGGGGGCCTAAGAACAAAATGAGGTTAAAAAGCCACACAGAACAGGGGCGTCCCATCCACAGGAGGTCGGAGAGACAGCCAAGCCTGCCACAGGCGTGTGACTGGACGGAATGGTCCCCAACAAGCATCCAGGCCGCAGGACATGGAGCCGGCGCAGTGGGCGCCGGGAGGGCCCCGGGGCTGGTGCAGGGATGCCACTGAGGCAGCACGCTGGGTGCGGGGACAGCAAGGCCCACAGAGCTGACAGCCTCCGGCCAGGGCTCTGTTTGCAGCAACAGCTGACCGGCCAGAAGCCTGAGAAAGAGAGCAAGGAGGCCCTGGAGACGGAAGAGCTCCTGAGGGCTCAGGGAGGCCCCCGCGTGGGGCCGCGGGGCCGGCGGCAGAGGCGAGCCTGCGGGCTGCGAGGGCAGCTCAGCCCCGCACAGGCTGCCGGCCGAGGGGCCTGGGGGCCCGGGGGCCCGGACACAGCCCTCCCGAAGGACGGCCTGGCCGCTAAGCCATGCAGCAGCAGGGTCAACTCCTGGACAACCGGGCTATGAAAGAAGAAAGAAGACTTTGAATGGAATGAAAATGAAACTACAACGTACCAAAATCTAAGGGATGCAACTGTAACAGTTATATCAGAAGAGAAAAGACATCTAAAATTGGCAACTGCGGCCTTTATCTAAAGAAACTAGGGAAAGAAAACAGAAGGAAATAAGATCACAGTGAAAGACAATGACACAGTACACAGAAAAAGAGAAAAATCAATGAAACCAAGAGTTGGATTTTTGAGATCAACAAAATTAATAACCCTTTAACTAAACTGACCAAGAAAACAGGTCTTCACGAACGACCGAAATCAGGAACAGAAGAGCGGAGGTCAGAACTGGTGCTCCAGAAACTGAAAGGGGCATTATGAACCTCACACCAAGAAACCACACAACCCAGATGAAATGAACAAATTCCATAAAAGACACACCAAAACTGACTCAAGAAGCGACCATTAGAACCCCCCCGAAAGAAAAACCCAGGCCCCCCGAGATTCAGCAATTGACGCTGGCAGCTTCTTCGTGGAGAAAGACCACTGATCTCACACACAGCATCTTTCAGGGGACAGAGAAGGGACACACCACTCACTCCTTGAGGCCCCCACTGCGCTGGTACAGGAGCCAGAAACAGGCATCAAAGGAAAAAAGCAAGCCCCAGGATGTTCCTTGTGAACACGCGTGGAAAAAAACCCTCACCAAAACCCCAGCATCCGATTCGGCCACACAGACCAAGGCCGCAGCCGCAGCTGCAGCCGCAGCGAGGAGAGGCCCAGCGCCGGGCAGAACTCGCTCCCCGAGGGGCGCGGCACAGGTGGAGCTCAGCAGGAACCTGCGCCAGCCAGGACGGGCACCGCTGTCACCCCAACCGACTGAGGGCCTCCCCCGCAAGCGCCGCCTTCACACCCAGGGGTGCGGGATGGGCGCTGATTCCCTGCAGCCAGTCCTACTCCGGCCGCCCTGGGAGCTGCCCGATGCCAGCCGTCCTGGGGTTTAACCCAGAGACGCCTGATCAGAAGCTGAGGCTGGACCCAGGCACAGCCCGCTCGAAGGCCCGTCAGCGACTGCACCGTCCAGCAGGGCCGGAGACGCTGGAACCAGGCGGGCCCCCCGACGTTCTGCGACTCTGCCCCAGCGATGTGTCACCAAGTGCCCCCGAGACGTGCTCTGGCTGGGAGTCACTCCCACCTGACAGAGGCACCCCCCACCCCAGCCCCACGCCATCGAGACAGGAGCCCCGGGTCAGACTCCTGCCCACAGGAAGAGGGTCCACAGGCGCAGGCGCCCCAGCCAGGCAGCCACAGCCTGTTCTAAGCACACGATTCCTCAGAAGCTATGAGAACTCTCTCTAAGTTTAGTATTTACTTGAAACTGTCTACACCAAAAAGTTAAAAATTCCGAGACTACGCACAACGTAGCCTATCTCCCTGGCGAGCTGGCGGCCCGCCACGTGTGCCTTCTCTGAAACCCACTGAAGTACACTAGCGCAGGGCTCACGAGTGCACGACGCGTGCGTTCAGTCGTACGGCTTTGAAACCTCCTACCTCCCCCGGGGGCTGACACGGCACAGCAAGCCCCCGGCCCGAGACGCTGGCCCACGAGGTCCTCCATGCAGCTCAGCCACACCCAGCCTGCAGCCTCAGCTCCCTGGGGAGCCTCCCACGTCACGGACTGAAGGGTCTAAACGTGCTCCACGGAAGCTCAGCAGACCAGGTTTGAGCTCAGGGCCGCCCAGAGCACATGCCGTCTGGTGAACGCCCACAGAAACCTGCGGTGTGGGCGCCCGTGAGTCTGCTTTGCTCACGAAGCTAGAATGAGGCACACGCCGGCAGCCCGAGCTGTGCACGTTTTCACAAAATCAGTCGATAGGCCGCACCTTGAAGACCGAGCAGCTCTGCCCGTGCCGTCAAAAGACTCGTGTGCAGAGCCCGGGGGGCAGGCGGTGCCCACAAGCACGCTCGCGCCCGAGCAGACGGGCCGTTGGCCAGCACGGGGACCACAGCACGGGGCCCCTTGGGACAGTGGGCGAGAGGGCGCTTGCTGCTTCCCCCTCAGTGACCCGCAGCGGGAGCCCGGGCGCGTGGGAGAGCCCGCGGCCACCCGCAGAGTGGGGCTCGCGCCAGCCGGGGCTGCTGCTGGCCCAGCCAAGGCGCTCGGCGCGCACAGGTCTTTGGGCGGTGAGTGCGCAACACCAATGATTTCTAAACTGGGGATCAAGGACATAAGGGCTCAATAAACACCCCAAAAACTTTCTTCATTATTATTTTGAGTAATTATGATCATTTATCTCTGACCGTGCTAACTAATGTCAGATATAACTCCTGAAAAACAAAGTTCTGAACTTTTATTTTCCTTTCAAAAACCATTCACTGTCCTGTGTAGACGTGACCCCCACGCAGATTCAGGTGCTAATGTCTGTCACACGTCCGCACTGTGACCGAGGGTTCCAGGGCCTGCCTGATGCTGTCCCCGCCTCGGCCCTCCACACAGCACACAAGGCAACCCCACTTTACAAGAGAAAGCCCGGGCCCCGGTGGCTCCGGCAGAGCCGGGCCGCTGCCCCCCAGAAACAGAAGGCCTGGCCATCGTCCGGCTGAAGTAAGCGAAGGGCAGCTGTACTGATGCTGTGCTTCCGCGGTTTTCTGAAAACCATGCTGAGCACTCAAGGCTTAAATATAAGTTACAAGTTATTTCATTGTGTTAAAAAAAAACAAAGGTGCCCCCACCCCAGTTGAGAGAATGATTCTTCCTTTTCAAATTAGCACAATGAAAAGCCCATTCTCGGAAGAAAAGTGCAATTCCAGAGTCACCGCAGCTGACGCGGGACAGCGCTGTCCACTACGCTTGACTGCATGTAGCCAGGAGCACAGCGGGACCCCTCCGGCAGACCGGCCCTACTGGCCGCACACACCTCTTAGGAGTCTTCTAGAACTCAGGCACCGAGTCAGAGCCCCAAAAGACGTGCATGTAAAACCGCTGTCCACCCCGGTTCGGAGCGCCAGACTCCTGCTCTCCGAGGGCACGGGCGTGAACGGGCGTCGGTGGGCGGCAGACTATGTTCCAGTCCAAAAAAGTGAGCTCACCCTGAAACCACCTCCTCCGGGGTGAAGAGGTCACTTCTGAATTCCTTCTGTGGCAGGCGTCTGGGTGCGATTTTAAATCTCTTTCACACCCTCCAAAACAGATGAGAAAGAAAGAAGTTTGACCAAACCAGAACTATTTTGTTGGTTTTTTCACAAATGATTATCTTATAAAACGTATCTTTAGAGTAGTTTTTCTTAAGTATGAAGGTACTACTTGAGTTAGGAAGGCTTAGGGAATACTTTTTATCAGCTTAATCATTACAAAAAATGCAGTCTGTGGCCACCAACATTAGCAGGACAGACTTATTTATAACAAATGGTGTAAATGTACAGATAAAAAGGCCTGCTGATACTGCCAGGGCATCTTGCAATGTGACAGATCAAATCTTATTTTCATCCTTAAAGCCCGTGAAGAAGTGATATCGCTG